GGGGAGAAACCCTACAGCTGTGGCCACTGCGGGAAAAGCTTCAGCCAAAGCGCCAACCTCATCAAGCACCGGCGCATCCACACTGGAGAGAGACCCTACAGCTGCCCCGAGTGTGGCAAGACCTTCAGCCAGAGCTCGTCGCTCATGCGGCACCGGCGGATCCACTGCAGAGACCGGCCTTACGAGTGCACCGAGTGCGGGAAGAGCTTTCGCTGCAACTCATCCCTGATGAACCACCAGCGCATCCACACCAGTGAGCGGCCCTACAAGTGCCCCGAGTGTGGGAAGGGTTTCATCAATAGGTCCAGGCTCACCAACCACCGGCGCACCCACACCGGAGAGCGGCCCTACAAATGCATCGACTGCGGGAAGGGCTTTGGAGACAGCTCCGCGCTCATGAAGCACCAGAGGACGCACGCCAAGTAGACATCCAGCAGACGGAGAGGGGGGCACTCGAGAGGGTGAAATTGACATGTCCTGGGGAACAGGGGCCACCACAGAGGAGGACATTGATTTGCCTTCCGGGGTAGCTGGGAGGGACAAGGGCACCTTTATAGAGAGTAAATTGGCTTCCTCTCTTCCCACCCCCATTGCTCAGCAAGACATACCCATCCGCCTCGGAAGTCTTGGCTCCTACCCCCAATGCATGCCAGTGCCCTAGAAGCCCCCGCCCTCACCCCTCCAGTGGATCAAGGTGCTGATGGCCTCTGCGAAGATCCCAAAGTGGCAGGAAGAGCTAAGGTAACTTGTCTAGCGTTGATTTGTAGAGAGGAAATAAGCAAACATAGTGCGGTACAGTGATTAGGGCTGGGAGTCAGGACTCCTGGGTTCAGCCCTTAGAGAGGGGAATGAGGTCTAGGGCTGATATCAGGGGGCTAGGAGAATCAGGACTCCTGGGTTCCAGCCCCAGCTCTGTCACTTGAGCTCTCTGTGCCTCTCTTTGTACAATGGGAATAATGACACCCAGCTTTTTTCTACAGTGTTTTGAGATTCATAGATGAAAAGTGCGTATTATTCTTTATTTGAGTAATTCTCTAAGCCAGAAGTGGCTCTCAGTTGACCTGCTTTGTTCATGCTCTGAGTTAGCTGTAGAGCATAGATCTCTAGGTCTTTTTTTAGTCTGGTTTGCAGTAATTAAGCTCCACGATTGATGTCTCATTTCAACCAACCAACCAGGAGAAGAAATTTAAGGAGATTCTAGAAAGGGAAATAAAACTGGGGATTGTGCCCTTCAATTTTGCTACTTTATGATGCACAAAACAAAGCGTGGGGAAGGGGCGGAGGGAATCAATCTGCTTGGGACTTGTACGTTAGACATTTGGGAGTTGTATAACTTGGAAGTCTCTTGGGAAGACTGGTGAATTGGGTCTGATCAGTTAAACCTGATTGAACGTGGAGAATGGCTTTCACACATAAGTTAAGGCTAGGAGTTTTCAGTATCAATCTTGGAGGACGTCCATTGTGTGAGATACCTTAGAGGCCTAATTTTCAGGTGGAAGTGCTCAGCATTGTCTCAAAATTGGGCCCCCTTAACCATTAACTGTTGGGCACTGACCGTCACCATTGAAAGTTTTGACACAAATTTTAACAATGAGGATTTTTCTCCAATATGCTCCTTGGATAACTGAGTTAGATAAGTGTCAACAAAGTGAGCCTATCAGATTCTTTGCCTGTGTTAATATTTATATCACTCAAATGCCTACATCATAGCATCATGGAATGCTCTGCTCACCACTGGAGCACCTTCTTGTGGCCACAGCTGGGGAATAGCTCTGCCAGTCTGACACCCCTTCCTGCATGTGCTCATTCCGTCTCTCTCTCGGGACTCAATGGCTCCCTCTTCGTGGCTTGGCCCTTTGGCAAGGTCACTGTAGTTTTCCCCTTCCGGGGGGGTTTGTGTACCCACGTCTCTCTGTACCAGTCATCCCAGGCAGTCTTCCAGTTCACTGCCCATCAATGGAGCCATTTCCCCAGTGGTTGGTAGGGGAACCAGACCTGGCCTCTTCCAGCCCAGGGACACTACATCCAGTGGCTAAGGCCTGCTGTGTCCCACACATGACTGCTGTTTCCCTGGTCTGCTTCATATGTTGTCTCTGTCCAGTTTCTTTTCCATCCACTTCCAGGTTTGCCTTTCCCTCTAGGCCAAGCTCCCTGCTCTCCCAAGCCCCACAGAGTGACTACAGACCTCCTCCCTGCAGCCCCTTTCTGCCCTCAGCTACCTGGCTTTCTACAAGCCCTTCCTATTCCTGTCCAGGTGAGCTTCATCCTTTAATTAGTCCTCTCTGCTCCCTGGCTCCCCTCCAGGTGCAGCCTTGGTGGTTAATTGGTCCAACTAGCCACATTAAGCCCTTCAGAGGTGGTGTGGGGTGAATGCCCCATCAGACATGGGTTTACAGGGTCTTTGCTACATCCTGGCCTTTAAACAGTCTCCTGGGAGTAACCCTTTTATTTAGTGTGGCAGACCTCAGGGGGACACACAGTTCCACCAGGGGAGGCCATACAGCCTCTCTGACTCCAGGATTGGGTCTTCAGACTCCAGCACCCCTGTTTGCCACCGGGAGCTCCTACAGCGAGTCTGACTGAGATCAGACTTCGGAGACATTCTCGTCTCAGGGAGCGATGCAGCCCATTGCGTATTAGCAGTGATGCTGAGCTCTTTCCTCCCTGTAGAGTGTCGGAGGAAGTTGCCTGCTCTTTCCAGGCCCAGCAGCTCAGCGTTCTTGTTCAGTCACTGGGGCTCCCATTATGTCTTCCGGATCTTTCATTCAGGTGTGTTGATTCTTTTCTGCTCCTAAAGACACCTTGGTACCATTTCAGACAGTCCACCTGCCATTCTGCCAGCCCTCATTCCCCGCTCTACTCAGTGTGTAGCCATACAAAGTGCACAGGGAAACTGAGACACGCATATGGATCATAAAAATATTACCAACATTCCCATGTACATCACAGCATAACAGACACTCTGGAGAAAAATCTTCTTTGTTAAAAGTTCACCAACCCTTTGCCTTGGGAGTTCTGTTAAGCTCTCGAGCCTCCTCACCTGATGCTTCATAGGGAAATAAAATAAGATCACACATTCCTAGTGGTTCTAAGGTTTAAAGAATAAACCCCAGAGCTTCCCCCAGCCCTGTTGTATTTCTACAGGCAAAGCTGTCGTTGGAGTTTGGTGGAGTTATGCCTGCAAGGCAGAATTCTTTATAAAACACCCAACAGCCCAGTGGAACTATCTATACGTAAGTAAAGGCAGAAAAGGTGATTCGTCTGGTCTTGGAGCTGTGTAGGTTAGAGACGGGATTCAACAAGTCAGGACTTCTGGGTTTTCTTCCCACCTCTGGTAGGGGAAAAGTGTAGAGTGGATTAGAGCAGGGGAGGCTGGGAGTTAGGATGCCTGGGTTGTATCCATGGCTCTTGGAGGGAAGTGGGGTCTATTGGTTGCAGCAGAGGCGGCCATGGAAATCTAGATTTCTGTGTTCTGTTCTTTGCAAAATAATGGCACTCTCTGGCCCTGTGCCAAGTGCCCTCAACAGCCAGAGACTTGCCAGGCACAGATTGTGCACAGCAACCAGAAGCAGGTGCCCAACCCTAGGCAGGGGCAGTTTTTAAATCTGCGGCAGGGCTGCATGGATAATTGACTTAACACCAGGACTTTTTAGAACAACAAGGTTGCATCAAGATGTGGCATGGAAAAGCTGTGATTGAAGAAAGGGGTGAGAGAGGGGGAAGGAGGAGAAAAAGCAAATGGCAAAGATTTTTTCCAAACTGGCTAGTTATTTTGGGGGTGCTCAGTCTGAGTCTGATTTTTCAGAGGGTGAGCACTCAGCGCTTTCTGGGGAATCACTTTCCTTGTAAGGTGGTGTCCCCCAATTTGAGTCCTCTCACAACTGAGACACTGAATCACTCGCTGCTTTTGACAGTGGTGGCCACTGAATCTTCAGAGTAACTAGCTAGAATCCCTGCTGTCTCCTTAGCCAGGTCTTCCACCCACTCTCCATCCTCTCTTAAGTCAATTGTTTGCTCTTTTGATTCAAGTGGGGAAGTGTTTTCTAAAACCAAAGGAAACCCAGATTGTTTTAGAGAAGTGACTGCTGTTAAAATGCCCCTTTAAAGTGATTTCTTTTTAGCCTTGGTTGTTTTGTTTTGTTTTTGAGGGGAGGGTGTGCGTATTTTAATCTGGGAATCTTTAGAAACACGGGGAGGGCGGTAGTAGAGGGATTGGCATGATTTCATTTTAGCAGGAAAGAGACAGCTTTTTTTCCTGCAACTTCACAGGATGTTATAATCCAGAGAGATTTCTCCTGCAGCTTCATCAGATGTCATAACACAGAGATCTCGCTCCAATTATTTCAATGTTATGATGAGTTGAGAGAGACTTAATGAAGGAAATCTACTCATGGAAGTATTGGGGCCTTCTCACTATGTAGCTTTTAAGGGAGAGGTGTTAGATTAATTCAAATATTTTTCTGTAGGGCTGATTTTAATTCTTTATCCATTTTTTTTAACTAGTGATATTTTTCTATCCACATATTGAGCTTCCTGTAGTTAGATCTAAGAGGTGAAAATAAATATTTGGATCTAAAAGATGGGGTGTGTGTGTGTGTGTGTGTTTTTCCTTTGTGATCTGTGGAATCCAGAAAATCACAGCTGTGTGGAAATAAGAAGTCTGGGGGGGTAGGGATTCTGTGTGGGTGAACTGAGCTAAGAGGGGTCACAGGAAGTGGAGGGTGGGAGTTCAGAGGCCTGTGTGAAGGATTTGAATCCCAGTGCCTGGATTGCTGCAGGGTAAGAGATGGTGTGATACCGGAGAGATTCTCCAGGCTCCGTTTGGTGTCCCTAGCTTGCATTTTGAATACGCAGAGATTATTCCACCATTAGAAGTTGCAGGTCACATGATACATCAGGGGTCAGGAACCTTTCAGAAGTGGTGTGCCGAGTCTTCACTTATTCACTCTAATTTAAGGTTCCGCGTGCCAGTAATACAATTTAACGTTTTTAGAAGGTCTCTTTCTATGAGTCTATAATACATAACTAAACTATTGTTGTATGTAAAGTAAATAAGGTTTTTAAAATGTTTAAGAAGTTTCATTTAAAATTCAATTAAAATGCAGAGCCCCCTGGACGGGTGGTCAGGACCCGGGCAGTGTGAGTGCCACTGAAAATCAGCTCGCGTGCCGCAGGTTGCCTACCCCTGTGATACATCATTGCTGAAAATAGGCCAAGAAGTCAAAAGTTTAGCTGAAGGGAAAAAAAGTAGTCCAAAAGGTCGAAAGCGCCGCAGGTCGAAAGTTCAGCTGGGGGAAAAAAAACACAGAAAAAACCACACAACTGGCAGAAACAGGTGCAGCATAACTCTGTGGTAAACAACTCGCGATCAGCATGTGTCGTTAAGATCTGCTAGCTGACAGGACACTATAAAAGGCAGCTAGAAG